GGTCCTTCCTACTGTGACGAGCTTACAAACATCATTTACTCGACATATTTAAAAATGTTTTGAGATTTTAAAAAAATGTCCGTCTGCTGATCTGGATCATTTTTCACGGCTCTGAGAACATGTGGTGTAAAAAGCCGTCTGTGTGTTCATGAGTAATTATGGGATGTATTCAGTTATTTGTCAACCTTGCTTTGCAGTGTAACCCTGTGATGATTGATGCCATCGAGGTCTCTGCTGCTCACCGCGCTCGATACTTCTGGGGAAACCTGCCGGGGATGAACAGGTGAGCAGATGCTCTTCATCAGAAACTCGCCCGGCATTGTGAGGGCAGACGGAGTGAACAGTGTGATCTCTCCTGTGCTTCAGGCCCCTGTGCGCCTCAGGGATGGACAAGCTACAGCTGCAGGACTGTCTGGATCACGGCCGAGTGGCAAAGGTTGGTCACGTACACCGTGAAAAGAAACATTTTCACGTGCAGGTTTTGTGTGCTAGACTGACGACGCGTGTGTTGTCTCGTAGTTTGGAAAGGTGCGCACCATCACTACTCGCTCCAACTCCATCAAACAGGGGAAAGACCAGCACTTCCCCGTGCTGATGAACGGGAAGGAGGACATCCTGTGGTGCACCGAGCTGGAGAGGTGAGCGGACAACACTCGCGCTGCTGCTTTTGGCAGTTACACTGTGAAAGGGTCCAGTGCGATGCATCCCAGCTAACGTGCTGACCACACCGGCATTCGCTCGGGCTTCTTTCTCACTGTGCACAAAAACTTTAAATATACCATCTTCAGCCGGTTGGTCTTCTCCCCTCTGCAGGATTTTTGGTTTCCCCGTCCACTACACTGACGTGTCCAACATGGGTCGCGGTGCCCGGCAGAAGCTCCTGGGCCGGTCTTGGAGCGTCCCCGTCATCAGGCATCTGTTCGCTCCGCTCAAAGACTACTTTGCCTGTGAATAAGAAGAAAGCCGCCATCACCAGCAAACACACACACACCAGCTTTTTTATCAAGAACCGTCAGCAGCCAGCCGTTTCCTCCCCTCCGTCGGACATTTTGGAAGGCAAATGGCCGGTTTGACAAAACGTCAGCGCGGCGGGGAAACGGTTCGAGATGCTGCCTGGATTCTGCCTTAGATCCACATAACACACACTAACACAGATTCACAGCTTAGAGAAAGACGTCGGCTGCCCTGGAAACAGAGGGGGCGGAGTCTAGTCAGGTGAGCAAAGGTGAGATGGGTAAGGAGGCCAGTAGGGCGATTCGCCTTTCATCGGGGAGTTAAAAGGGAACGATGACACCCACGCCTTTGCTTTGTTAACATTAGGACTGTAGCGTGACTTTAATAGGATTTTAGCTTCATTTAAACGCCCTTGGAAGGCATCGTTTTTAAGATAACACCTAGAAGTTTTAGAAGATGGAGAACGGCGTAGTAGCGAGCTTTCAATCTCAAACAAAAACACTTTAAAAGTGACTTGAACCAAAGGCGGAGCTGACGTCCTGTTCCTGTTTTACCCGCCGAGGTCAGTCCGCCGTAATGATGCTGTGGCTTCTGGTCCAAACGTTGCGAGTGCACTCGACAGTAAAACTGCTGCAGGATGTTTTTAAAGGACCAAACTAAGAAACCCTCATTGGGGAAGTTGATCGGTATAAGCTACTGACCTGAAGCTAACCTGGAAACATGAGACGGGATTTAGCTTTATATTTAGATCACTTTATATTGATAGACTTTGTTGACTTTAGGAAATAAAAGTACTTTTGTTTATTCCTTTTTCTATTAGCACACTAGTTTCAAGTGGCTGTATTTTACTTTTTCGTTGTTCCTCTGACTTTCAGTCTGTTCAAGGGTTTTTGCATGTTAAAGGTTTGCAAAGTCGAACCCAAAGAAAACACTGCTGCTGAACTGCCTCACACGCCAGTCCAGACTTTTCTCTGTCACCACGTAACTCGCTGGTGTGACTGCCGTTAAACCGGCGCGTAGTCAGGAACGCTCAAATAAATGACAAAAGAAGTTAGTTTAGTGTTAGTTTGGTGGTAAATGGTGTTTGAATGTTTTAATACAGCCAAAAACTTCATAGAGCTAATTAAACATTCGTGTACATTTCAAAAAAGGGAACAAATAGGAAGCTATTTACACCAAAGTAAAGCTTTCTAAATTCAGAGCTAATACTCTGGAGGCATAACAGCGATGTCACCTGACTGAATCAGTGATATTGGAATGTAAAAATATTTTGAACAACAAATGCTAAACAATGGCTTGGATACAAAGTTAAAAGTCACAGAAAAGTCTGCTGGTTACATATGTAACAAGCTCCGGATGAATCCGACCAATCGGAGCAGGCCACAGAGAGTCCTCACAGCTCCTTTTTATAGAGGTGGTTAAAAAAGTATCACTTTATCACACAAACTGACCAATCAGAGCAGACTGTGCTTGTCAGGAAGGAGAGAGCCTTAAAAACAAGCGTTTAGGTCAAAGGTTGAACAGGTGTATAAAGAAATGCGTTTTATTTTGAGTTTGTAGCGAGGATGATGTGGGCGCGCTCAGGATGTTGTCACGGCGATCTCTTCAGTATCTCTTTGGATACTTGAAACAAGCTGATGCAGAAAGACAAAAACTGAAAGGCAGGGAGGGGCTCATCTTCTGTTAATGTCTGCAGACAGCTGATGAATGCAGTCATGACGTTTGTGCTACTGTAGATGTTTTGTTACTGTAACAGGCAGATGCCATTTTATTAGAATCCAGGAAAGGCTGCGAGTCTCTGAGCGTTAGTGTGCGGCCTCACAGCTCTTCCTATTCCACCGAGAGGGAGAAACACTGGTGACCACGCCTCGGCTGTGAAAGGTCACAACTGCTGTTCATCGACGATGTTTCCAGAAAACGTAACGAGAAACCGTCTCGCGGTGCTGTTTCCTGGTCTGTGTGGAGAACGTGTGTTTTAGAGTCCTTAGCGCTCTCTGTTGCTGCCCTTCTGATAAGGACGTTTCAGCCAAATCCGTGTTTCTGTGATGATGTGAACTCTCGTGACTACTTTATTCTAGATCGTCGATTTCCCAAAAGAAGTTCCACGCCACTGCGACGCAGGTGAAGCGTGTTTCAGCGCGGCCCCCACACAGCGCCATCTATGGGTAGCAGTCCTGAAACACTTGTTAGTTTTTTGTTAACTGGAACACTTTGAAATGCTGTTTTAAGGCCGTCACCAAACCAAAGTGAACGGGTATTACCTCCTACACCATCACGTCTGTGAGCACATGCTGTAGCCGTCTGCTCTCTGTATAAACAGCTTCTATTTTATCACTGGAACTTTGGTTTTTTTCAGTGTTCATGTGTACTGTATCGATAGAAAGGTTTACAAGTGTTTTAACTCACATTTGACTACGAACTGCATCTTATTTTGAAAAATGCACAAGTCTTTGTAAAGACCCTTTTTGACTTTCAGGCTCTTTTACAGATGTGGTGCTTCAAAAGTCACTTCAAGTGCCGCCAGGATCTTTTTCCTGAGTTGAACGGCCTTTCACAAACCAAAAGCTTCATGTTTACATGCTTCGTTAATAACTGCTGAACTCGTTGAATGTTTTTGCTGGAAAACAAAAAAAAAGGTTTTTTTAAACATTTTATATGATAGTTTATATTAACACAGTATAAAGCTCGCTTTCTAATGTTCTAGTGCAGAGTAGCTCGTATTAATAAGAAGTTATTGATGTTTTTTTATGAAAAGTGAGGACGCCTGTGTGTGACCTATAATCCCATTGAAATTTTTTCTTTTACCTTTTTATAAATCTTCTATGAAAAAGCCAAAAAAAAACATCTTTACACTTTATTTTATTAGAGGAAAACATTGCTGTATTTTTGTGTACTTTCTATAGCAGCATATATAATTTTTACTCAATAAAATGCAGAAAAAACCTAAATATGGCCGTGCCCAGTGTTATGCTTCTTTTTGCTTCATCCACGAATGATTTGTATTGACTTCTTTGGTGCAGTGTCACAGGGACCGTTCACACTGTGCCAGCAGGGGTTAAAGTGGGATTTGGCTGCTGGGCGGGGCCTAGGATCAGGTCCAAAAGTTCAGCATGAAGAAAAGATTCACTGAGAAATAAGTGACATGATGACTTGTTTCGTGAACCTGTGGGGCAGCACAGGGGTTTCCCCTTGGTCCTGGGTTCAAATCTGGGCGGAGCCTTTCTGTATGGATGCTTGTGAAGCGGTGATCAGCTGGCCTGCGCTGCTCTCAATTAAAAAGCACATGAGCTGGTGTTCCACAGCTGATGTACAGCAATTCAGTTTTATTTATATAGCACCAAATCATAACAAAGATCACCGTAACACATTTTGTACACTAAGGCTAAGAGCATGAGCAAAGAGCAAGCACCTGGCGACGGGAAGAAATCTCTGGAAACAGAACCAGGCTCAGGGAGAGAGAACAAACATACACTCTGGAAGTGACGACAGTGAGCCCAGAGCTCAGACTGCAGGCCGCTCTAAACACTCAGTTTATCACAGTTTTCCTACTCCTGGATCTGGATGATGTCACAGAGAGAGGGTAGAAGCCCCGCCTACCTGCTGTGCAAACCTTGATCATTCTGAGCTGTGTCATGCAAAGCTACAGTAAGAGAGTCCACTGTTGTCTTTGCAGGTTTTCAAATCATGTTGACAATTATCTGTGTTAACTATTTACATGAATCACAATACAATGCTTCATAAGTTTATTTATTTTCATATTTATCTTCATAAAAAATGAGACTTTGCAGCTGAAACAGCAGAAACACCTCAGAGTACATGAAAGCCAGCTTGCACAGGTGGCTCTCAAGCTTCTTTATAAACCGTTAACCTCCACAACCTCAAAACTCTCCTTTTGTCCTTCACCTCACCTGGAAGAGAACCGACCAAGAACTGACCCATGCTCAGGAGAACGATCTGCATCTGTCCATTAAAATTTCATTTGAAACTGAGCAGAGTTTCAGCACATACGAGAGAACCCGGAGTCTTCGAAATGTTGTCTGCATTCATTTGTCTCAACACTAAAAACGTGAACTTATAACTCAGTCTAAATGCTGAGGGATGAGGGGTCAGCTTTGGTGTGTGTGTGTGTGTGTGTGTGTGCGTTTTAAACGGGTGAGTAACTGCGTGTTTAACATATGAAGGACAGCCGAGTGGTTACTTATCCTGAAATGTCACGTCAGCGTTGTGCGTGGCTGTGTGAACACTGACGGTGGGATAGAGTGAAGCGATCAGGGGGAACTTTGAGCGTCGTTCAGGGAAAACACATCATCGATCAAACGCAGCAGAAGCTAAAGAGACGTGGTGAGTTATGAAACCGTGCTGGTGTTCAGACGGAGTCACCTAGACTCGCCCCTCAGCAGGGGCCAAGCCATCCACAGCAGCTTCCACTGGGAGGAGACAAAAAGAGGAAGAGGTCAAGTGGGAAGCAGCGGGGCGGAGGCTCGGTAAGATAAACGCAGGAAACTCGGAGTCACTTATCTGGACATCAAACATGACAGGAAGCTGCTTCTGGGCGCTCCAATGAGGGCAGCGTTAGCAGGACAGTATGATTCTACTGCGCACATCAGTTGCGCTCACCTGTAGGAAGGAGAATCCGGAAACACCTGACAGAGTCAGCGAGTCCTGCCGGAGACCACGGCCTGTTCTCTCCGGATCATTCAGGGAACCGCAGCTTATCAAACAGGGCCGGCGAGCTTTTCCCACCACTCCTGTCTCCGGGGCCTCCTCAGCCTCACCTGGACTCCAGCCCTGCACCCCCTCCCTCTGCCCTTGGACGTCGGGCGTTGTTTTTTAAAAAGGTTAAAGTGGGACAAACTGAGACGGCGGCTCTGCAGAGCACGGCAAACAAACAGCGGGGGTCCTCATAGAAGATATGGACCAGCACACACCCAGCGAGCAGGAAGCCCACCACACACCGGCAGGAAGCCAGCGCCACAGCTCCGACAGGTAAACAGGGTCTCTGCCCCCACCCAGCAGCGATATCAGTGAACCTCACACAAACGGAAGAGTACAGCTGTGCTAAGTAGACTCTTTAAAACTCTTTAAAATCCCGATTAAACTAATTTCGTTGGTTAATCACAGCGAGTCTGTGCTGCTGTTTAACTTGATTCCAGCAGAGGGCGCTCAAGTCGTCTGTTTCTAGTTTCTTTCACTTTCACACAGCCGTTCATAACTTCCTTTTCAAGCCTCTTCTTCCAATCACAGACGGCAGCACACAGCCAGGCCATTGGCTACAAGTCGTGCATAACCTTAGAGCAGAGGTGGAGGCAGGTGTGTAGGAGCGAGAGCTTTGTGACCAGGCTTAGGTCTGTAGGCTCGCAGTCATGGTGGTCTGAGGAGGGTGGAACCAAAGCGGCTGGACTGCTTTACGGTTTGTGAAGTCGTTTCACCTCAGAAGTGAAGAAGCTTCGTCTTTGCTAAACTTAAAGAAGTGCGGTGGCTTTCTTTCTGACATGTTTGACACAATCTCCGAGCCGAGCTGTAGTCACTACAGAGGGATAAAGCTGATGAGCCACACCGGGAAGATTTGGGAAAGAGTTGTTGGAGCTAGGTTAGGAAGAGAGGTGATGATCAGCAAGCAGCACTGTGACTTAAATATTCATCTAGTTGCCATTAGAAAAAATTATTCTTAAGCTGGTTAATTTTATGTGTAATTTTAAGACTTTATTTTGCTTTTGCTCACTGTGATAATAACTCAGCAGTCCGAACACATAACCCTGTGGAGCCCAGAAAACTGTTCCAATCAGAGTAGATGTGTTGTCCTCTGAGCACAACCAGGTAGACAACAGGCAAAGAATGAAATATCTCACAGACAAGATTGCTATTAATTTCAACACAGAACAGACAGAGATCGTGATTTATCTCACAAAAAGACAAGATTGACGTCTGTAGTCCACTAAAACCACAACTTCTGAGAACCTGAAGGAACCAAAGGTGGTTGAAACGCTGACATCATCTTCCACGCCAAAATTGGTCACGGTGCGAGGGCAAAAACCGAGCTGAGGTCAGAAGTCAGAGGTGGTGAGACCATCTGAGACTAACTACTGCGCCAAGGAAGCAATTAGTGACACTGGAAAAACTAGTTCATGACTTGATTACTCTAGGCTGGACTACTGTAACTGATTACTATTATTATCATTATAAAATTCCCTAAAAAAACTTTATTTGATCCAAAATTCTGCAATATATTTCTCCTGTTTTGGCTTCCTGTTTAATCCAGAATTCAAAATCCTGCTCCTCACATACAAGGTCTTAAATAATCAGGCCCCATCTTATCTTAATGACCTTGTAGTACCATATCACCCTATTAGAGCACTTCTCTCTCGCTCTGCAGGCCTACTTGTTGTTCCTAGAGTATTTAAAAGTAGAATGGGAGGCAGAGCCTTCAGTTTTCAGGCTCCTCTTCTGTGGAACCAGCTTCCAGTTTGGATTCAGGAGACAAACACTATCTCCAGGGTGAAATCAGTTAAACTGGGACACTTTTTGGCAAATTTCATATTTTTTGGCAAATTTGGTAAACTTCAAAATAAGCACTAAGTGAGACTGAATTGTGTTTTTGTTGTTAATGAGTTGTTTTCAATATGTAAACCTTGATTTAATTTCATAAATTATAATTATTCAGGTCCTATAGCTTTTGAAACATTTTTGAGATGAGCAGCGTTTTAGGGTAAAGTGGGCCACTTTATCAGTCAGCTTTGATTTGAACTCATTTTAACAAATATGAACACATTCAAGTGTTGATTTAATAATTCATGAATAAAAACACTGGCACTAAAAATAACTAGAATTAGTTAATTATTACAACATTTTCATAAGAACTGTATGTTCTATTTTAGAGACAGTCTTTGCAGAAGAATCCATCGTCAGCATAGATGCCACTTTCTTCTCCACACGTCTCATGGAACCAGGCGCTGCGGTTCCCACAGCTGATCCACTCCCCACTGGCCTTTGGGTCACTTTTGTCTCCATAGACTGGCTTACATGCTTTGCAGGGCACGTCATCCTTCTTTGCACCTTTGCTTCTTCTGGTCTTTTCTATCTTTTTAGTTTGCACTGCCTTGGTGGAAACGTAGTCTACGTGTCCATCGCTTGTGAAGACAAATGACAGAGGTTTGGCCCTCTTTCTGACAGTCCTCTGTTGTTTTGGTTGGGCACACAGATCACTGAATGTAATACAAGTTCAGGTTGATGGCTCTTCCTTTGGTGTGAACAGGTTAAAGACCATCTCTATCTCAGGAACACATTCAAAGTTGACCGTTATTTCTTCAGATCCAACCATCCAAGAATGTAAAGGTTGAGGGCACCTCAGATACCGCTGCAGGGGGATGAATGGGGCTGAGGGATTTTAGGGTCTGGATGTTGGTGCTGGAGCTGGTGGTGTCTGGTGGGGTCTGCTTGCTATTGCTGGTGGTGTCTGGGATCTGATTGCTGGTGGTGTCTGGGGTCTGCTTGTTGGTGCTGGTGTTGTCTGGGGTCTGCAAGTCCATCTAGATCTCTGGCATCATCCTTAGGTAATGACTGAACAAACAACTGAGCCCATTCTAGGAAGACATCATTAATCCAGCCATTATCTGAGACCTGAACAGTAACATTCTCAGGGCACTGTTGGAGCCACTCACATCGTAGCCGCTTCCCTTTAAACATAATCACAGTTTGACTGAAAATGCATTCTGCATTGAAGGCTGCCATGCAGGTGGTAGTTTCACCTTTCTCACCTGCACAGACCTCCAGACATGGTTGGCCAATCACTCCAAGCACCTTGGTTAAGGAGCACTGGTGTTGTGGACCAGACTCGTCGCAGTTCCATACATATGGGAAGGCATGCCCTCGAGGCTGGGAGTGCAGAGCAGGTTGTCATAAACTGGAAACCACTGACTGACCACCTGCTTGTTCAGTGGTGCGGCCCTTGCAGCTGAGAGCAATTCATGGTTTTGTATGCCACGCCCTGCGTGGTGCTTAGTGAAATTTTTTAACCAATAGTATCCTACTCAGCCAACCTTTTGTGAGAAGCCCTTAATATTATTTTGTGATGCTGTTGAACCTCTCTATTGGTAAGAGGAGCCAGTTCTTGTTCTGCTGCCTCAGGGAGGCATAGCCACTATGAGCTAGCTCCCACTCACTCTTCTTTGCAGTGTGGCCTGGGGATTATTCTATACTCTTGAGAGGAAGCGCACACTTTTTTAATTTCACTCCTTGTACTCTTCCCATGCTCCCTGTTTTCTCCTCTACCCACTGATTGTATTTCCCTCTTTCCTTCTCCTGTCTTCTCCATGTTCCTTCCCTATCCTTTTCTTTTATTGCCTTCCTTTCTTCAAACTTTCCTTTTGGCTAAAGCATGTAGTCAGGGCTGGATCAGGTGACCCTGAATCCTCCCTTAGCAATGCTGCAAAAGTGTAGGCTGAGTCCCATGATGCACTAAGTATTTATCCTTCTCTCACCCCTTTTAAGATAAGATAAACCTTTATTACTCCTACACGTGGGAAATTTGTTGGGTCACAGCAGAAAGTGGACAGTACAAAGTTACAAACAGCAAAAATGAAGAAATACACTAGAATAGAATAAGATAAAATAACATACTATGTGTTTACACACCACTGTGCATTTAATTATGAATTATTAATCACTCTCTGGCTCTCGTCCACAGCATGTCTTTTTTCCTCCCTTCCCGAGTCTGGCTCTGCTGGAGGTTTCTTCCTGTTAAAGGTTTTTCTTCCCACTGTCGCCAAAGTACTGATTGTTGGGGTTTCTCCGTAGAGCTCTACAACTGTACTACTCTGTCTTAAATAGTGTAAACGGTTAGCTTAAATAAAAGCTATGTTTTCGTGGAGCAGCGCTGTCGGAACAGCCAACCGGAAAATCTGCTAACTCCGATGTCGCCTAGTGTGACGCTAGGAGCTAAAGCTAACTGCAGCTAGCAGCTGTAGAACCGGATGTTTCAGTAACAGCGACATAACCAAAGAGTTTGGCTAGCTGGTATTTAAAGTTAAATTTCGACCCCTGTGGTGTTAAAGGGCGTGGGCCTTTATTTTATTCACACTTCTGGCTGTTTTTAAATTGAGTGACTAGGTCAAACACCCGCTTTTTTTTTCCGCGGCAGAGGGCTGGGTGGGTTTTGGGGGTCGTCGAGGCTGACTCCTTTGGTATTTGAATCGGTCAGAGCGAGCTGAGCAGAGAAGGTAAGTCCACCATGTTTGTTAGCCGCCTGTTGCATGAATTCGCTAAAGTTTTCACCATGATTTTAAACTAAAACTGTACATTTCTTCTAGAATAAACCGTCGGGAGCGCACAGGCCGTTTGTGACTTTGCTGTAAACTTGTACTGATGTTGTAAGTCAGCGTCGCGAGCTAATGCGGATATCTCGCTGTGTTATTAAGGTCTCTGAGTAAATGATGATCGTGTAGCTGACCTCACAGCCATTGTTCGTTCAGTGGGCTAGTTTAAGGCATTGTGCAAAGTGCTGTTTATAAGGTGGGAAACTATCTGGCACTTGAATGTGTGGCGAAACGTTTTTCCCACTGAAAACGTCCAGATGAACAGAATCATTTTTTTGGGAACTCGGAGTAAAAGTCAGCTGAATGAAAGTGGGGGTGTGAACAAAAGTAGCTGACCACCGAGTGACCGCTTAAACTCCGAGACAATTTCTAAACGGTAGCGGTGTTATTGCCGTTAAATGCTGTAGTTGCTATTGTATTGTTAGCCGCACTTTATCACACATGCAACCATGACTCCAGCTGACCTGAGATCAGATTGTTTTTATTCCGACGGCAGCCCCACGTGTTAGTTTCCGGAAACAAATTTAAGAGCGCATCGGTGCCGCTTCCATTGATTCTATTGGCTAGAATAACCCCCGCTCTGCTCTGATTGGTGTGGAGGCCACTGTGAATGTGTGCTGCGTTCTGGTAACTTTGGAATTTCCGTTGCGTGCGTCCCGGTGTTAAGGTTTTGTCTGTCGCAAGATTGCGTCTTTATTTTTGCACGTAAACGCAGCCGTGATCGTTAACTCGGGGTGGGCAGGGCTGCGCCGAGTTGTAAATTAGACTTGAGGGGAGGTTACAGTTTAAGATTCCGGCTGGAAACTCGGGAATTCCAACTTCGCCTAGAATGCGCTCGTGTTCATTTCGTTCGTTTCCATTCTATAGATTGAATGTGAAGTAAACGACATTTTAATGGGACCCTAAATGCAACGCTTTCACGAAGAAGTCGTTACAGAGGAAGAGGTCAGCCCCTGAAGCAGCACTGTGTGACCCCGGTGTCCGTGACGCTGTGACGGAGGTCTGCAGAGGGAGGTCGGGCTCTTTCAAACTGTTAGTAAACCTTCTGGACAGACATTTGTGCAAACGCGTGGGCTCGTTTTGGGGCGCTTACAGTAAAATATTACTGCATGAGTTTTCTTACGTGTGTAAATGTCACTCTGACTTCATCAGGCTCTTGTGTAATGCATGCCTCAGTAATATTTGTTTTGCCTCATGTATCATCCCTCCAGCCGGAGCCTATCATGGGGCTAAAGGCGGGGTAGAGCCTGGCCAGGTCGCCAGTCTGTGCAGGGCTGCAGCATTGATGTATGATTTTAAAAACATTGTGATGTGTGTGCAGGTGCCTTTCGGAGATGGCGGTGCATGTGACCCTGAACGGGACGTTTTTGTATAACCGCTATGAGCTGCTGGCGTGGCTAAACGAAACCTTACAGACGAGCTTCACCAAGGTGGAGCAGGCATGCACAGGTGGGTGTGTTTTAACAGGCATGGCTGATGCTGGTACATTGCTAACAGCCTCCGCCTTACTTCTCACGTGGAGTTCTTTGTCCTCCTGAGCCCATCTGTGGTTGGCTAACAGAAACCAACAGGCGCTCGCACATCACTCCTATTCTTTCCTCCTTTCCTTGGACTCTTTTCTTTCGGCTGCTCCCTTTAGGGGTCTCCACAGTGGAGAATCTGCCTCCACCTCCTCTGTCATACCAACCCTCTGCCTGTCCTCCTTTTCTACATCCATGAACCTCCCTTGAGGTCTTCCTCTTTTCCTCCTGCTTGGCGGTTTCATCTTCAGCCTCCGTCCTCTGCACATGCTGAAACCGTGTCAGCCTCTGACTCTGACCTGTCCCTCTGACGAGGACTCATTTCTTAAAAAGGACTACTGTGTTTGTGGACGGTGGCCCAGCTTTCTTGCTATCATTTCTTACTGAGCAGGTGTGCCTCGTGGTGCATGTTGTGAAAAGAAAACCATAAATAAGACTATTTACACAGAGCAGGAAGGACAGCAAAGGAAAAACTTGTGCTGCCCGAGTGTGTGGCTTACAGGGTTTCCCTGACGCTGCACTGGGCTCATCATTAGAAACTCAGGTCATCTGTCCCTGCAACAGGAACAGGACATATATGACAGGCAACGAGGAAAAGCCAGTTTGACCAGTGTAAAGATAAAGCCGTGTTAATAATGTAAATGATGTGTAATACTTCCTGCTCTGTTTGTATCCAGGTGCGGCTTATTGCCAGCTGATGGACTGGCTGTTTCCCGGCTCCTTGGACCTCTCCAGGGTCCAGTTCCAGTGCGACACCATCATGCACTCTCTGCACAACTTCACCTTGCTGCAGGCTGCTTTCAGGAAGGCCGGAGTGATCAGAGTGAGTGTTGCAGCGCTTTCAGGTCCCGACATTAAAGCGAGTGCTCGCTGCACACCTGTGTTAGAAACAGCAGGATGACTTAGCGCTCGTTCTTTGATAGAAACATGCATCTAAAGATCCTCTGTTGCTCTGCCTAGCACATCCCCATCGAGTCGCTGATGAAGAGGAACTCGGCCGTGGCTCTGACCTTCCTCCAGTGGTTCAAGATCTTCTTCGACGAGAACAATGATGGCAGGGAGTACAACGCCTTGGAAGCTAGAGGAGGACAGAGCCTGGTTCCTGCTGACCTAGGTGTGTCTCGCACAGGTGTCACACAGCGTGTTTTCAGGGAACCGATGCTGGGAACTAGTGCTGGGCGATATTGAAAAAATATTTATCACGATGTGAATTATTTTATATCACGATAACGATATATATATCACGATATACCACAATGTTTCCACTTATTCTCTGAAAAGTGTGACAGATGTCATTGCTCACTTTTCTCCAACTTTATTTTGAAGGTTTAAAGGAACTGTCACAAATGAGAAACGTGCATTTTAGTGCAGCAATATAAATGCATCAAAGGAAAACAGCTGTGGCCTTCTTTATTTTCAAAATCATACATTTAAAATGAACTTTTTAAAGTGCACAACAGTTTCAAGGTTTTCTGCCCAAAATATTTGTTTTACTAACATGCATATCATATATGCTAGTAAAACTAATGTGTGTATATATACTAGTACTACGTGCACGTATATACGCACATAATGTACTTTATGCACGGTAAATACGTAGCGACGGCAGACTCATACCTTGGGCTAACACGACTCCAGTGTGGTCATGTGGGAAGTCCGCAGTCTGTCAACAGCGAGCGCGGCGTCTTCGTTAATGAAGCGGATGGTTACGCTCATGCAGGGCTGCGTATCTCTGCTCGTCCACAGGTCAGCAGCCAAGGCTTAATGCACGACACTGCAAACATCCTGCTCTACTTTGGCCGCCATGCGTCGTATAAGCGAGGCAACTCGACTTTACTGAAGTGCTTACGACCGGGCATAACGTACCTCGGATCAAGGACTTTGACGAGGTCACGAAAGCTGTCCTTCTCAACTACATAAACAGGGCCATGCCTTTACAAATGCAACGCGAGACGGCGCCTGTGATTTGTTTATGGCGCTGGGACGTTTTCTCATACGGGCCTCGTGTGAAAGGCTGCTGCATCTTCAGCTGGTATAGTTTTTCTTTCCCAACTTGCTCCCGTCGTTCCACAGCTTGGTTTAGCTCGGATTCTCTGGATTCTTCTTCGTGGGCCTTCTGTAGGTGATACAAGAGATTTGTTGTGTTGCCATCGGGCGCGGGAATAGTTTTATAGCATAGCTTACAAATGGGCGTCTTCTGCTCCGTGTTGGTGCTGTTGAACCCAACA